AACGATTAAAACGGCTGAAATATGTTAAACAATATATGTCCATGTATTTAGGGCCCATTTGATAAATAGGTATAAAGCATGATGCTTTGAACTTTTGTCGGTTTTAACCAACCATCAAAAGGTTTTAACAAATGTTGGTTCAAAACAACCTTCTAGTTTAAAACACTTGAATCTGTTTACCAAAAGGCATGGCAGTATTGATACCTAGTAGATGCTGTATGACTGGCATGATTACTTAATGATGACTAAATAATGGTTGAATATACACGTACCTTGAGCAAAATTCCATCCGTAGGAGGTATAGTATCAGTGAACATGTTTCCTCCGATAAAGTTCAGGTTGTCAGTTCCCTCTAAATTAGCGACGACATGCGGGAGGTCAAACACGGTGCATTTGATGTGTGGGAAACTACTAGTAATGGCTTTGGCCATGGTTCCAGTGCCTCCTCCAACATCAACCAAAGTCTCCAAACCCTCAAACACATTCTTATATTCAGTTAGAATGACTTTGGCAATTAGCTGGGAGTCATTAGCCATTGCCTCATTAAAGAGATGAATATGTTTTGGCTCATCAGCGAGAAAATCCCAAAAGTTCTTCCCATTTCCATGCTCGAATGTTTTGCCATCACTTTGCTGTAACCAAGTGCTCAAGGAGTGCAACGGAGCCACCACTTCGGGGAGAAGGTGAAAAAGAAAAAATGATTTCATTTTGATGGAAGCTGGCCCGTCGCTTAAGAGAAGCCGGGAAACGTTTGTGAGAGAGAGTGATTCTTCTTCTTCTCCGTTAACTTTTAGGGCTGAAAAGAAACCGGAGTGAACAAGAATGCGCATAATGCGATAAATGCAATGAGCTTTTGAAGGATGGATAGGAAGTGCAGAGATGAGTTTCGAAAGAGTAATGGGTTGGCCATGTTTATGGATGATATCTGGTATTCCTAGTTCAATGACGCACTTCAATGACAAATTCCTAACAATATGTACTGAGTTACTCCACAAAAGAGAGTGAGCTTGAAGCAACTCGCTAGAACTCATCACATCTTCACTAAAATAATCCATTTTTATTCTCTCTCTTTTTTTTTTCTCCCTCTCTCTTAAAAATCTTGAAATTGAATGTTTCAATTCATGATGTAAAATCCTGCAGTTATGAATGTCCTTTTATAGAAGCAGTTAGATCATTTGATCAAGAGGGAAAATTCAAAGAATCCGTATCTATCTTACTTTTGTCAAATAGGTACTGCTACAAATTAGACTATCTATTTATATACAATATTAAGTGATATAACCCTATCCCACAATTAATTAAAAATACAAGTACAACTTTTGTTGGACAAGAAATATTATGACTAGAATAATTTTAATTATTATTTATATGCTTGTACTTTTTAAATATGTTCTCTCTTCCAGATAGCTAATTAATTATTAGAACTTTACAGACAAAGAATATTATGGACTATATAATAATAATTCTCACATGCTCTTAAAACTAATTATCATATATAGTTCTCACCTGCTCTTACATGAATAATCTTAAGTCACAATAGTTGACTCAACTAAAAATCATGGAGAGCTCATGGAAAACATTTGCCCTCCCTCTAAGGAAAAAAATATATATATATTTACCCGTTAGAAACAAATATGGCAGAGTGTTATAATCACATGCAACTAATTAATTATTATATATATTTCCCACATGATCTTACAACTAATTATTATAAATAGTTTTCACACGCAACTAATTATTATATATATTATTTAGCCAAAAAAACAATTATTATATATACTTCTGACATATGCATGTACTTTTTGAATTTGTGCTCTTCCAGACGACAAAGAAATAATATTAATAAGGAAGTAAAATCCGTTAACCTCTCTAATTATATCTTCATCCTTGAGTACCATTGATTCTCTAATGGATAGTGATTCATAAAACACATTCATGAACCAGAGCACTCTAACTAGTCCAAGTACCAAATCAACACTCAAGAGAATTATTTATCTACTTCTTTCTCAAGAAGAAATGGATTTCATCTCGTATAATAACATTCTCGGCTACCTATTTCATCATATCTCCAAAATACAAGGAATAGGATTCAGAGTCTCAGGATTAATTCTCAATGATTTGAGTTTGAATATATAAAACAAACTAGTTTTAAACTTTTCATTAATTAATTTGGCATAAACAAGTAATATTTAAAACTTTTTCATCATCACAAAAGCTATGGAGAGCACATATATTTTACATGATAGGAAATGCTTTCGCCCCAAACTTCAGTCAAGTACACAGATAAACTAGAAATTGCAAATGGCGAAGACAAACAACACGATTTAATGAGGTTAGGCCAAAGATTGGCTACGCCCTTGCGAACTCCCCTCAAGGAATTCGATCTGGACTCTTATTGATCTCTAGATTACAACACTCGAATCACATGACTGTATCCCTCCCGAGTATATACACAGACTTTCCTGAGAAAATTTGCAGCAAGAATTCCCGAGAAAATTTTTTCCTTTCTCTCCCTAGTATGCTACTCAATTGGTTAATAGTACTTTCGAAAAATTGACCTAGTTTATCATTTGATCATAGAAGACTAAGAAGAGATACTACAGTAAACGTTGAAAAATTTATGCTGGATCGTTTACACATTCTATAATTACATGCGACAACCCACTATGATGAAGGAATAAGGTAGATTGACTAATATCATTAATCGCGTTTAATATATCAATCTGTTTCTAATAATTTAATCACGTAAAGATTTTATTGCCACAAACTTCGATATTAAATTAATATTATTGATCTTACTTGATTCATTTGGCCTTATACTTAACGTACATCTGTTGTACTCCGAGTCTAAAGAATTATGAGTTGAAATTTCCTGTTATTTTAAAGAATCATTATGCAGGAAGGCAAATACCAAATTTTAGCGGCTAGATGGCTGGAATTCATTATTAGATATCTGGATTGGTTGGTGCTTTAGAAGTTTAGAGGTCCGCTCCTTTCACTGTCCTAATAAATAAACCGGGACCTACTGTACTTGCATCATTATTGATCGCTTTTGATCATACTTTTCTCATGTATTCACGTATTAGAAACGCTTAAAGAGTTTATTATTTCTTTAATAATGATAAATTTATTTATATAACTATTTAAGAACTTTTGATTTTATCGAAAGAAGGAATATGTATATATCAAAGAAATTACATGAAAAACAAATAAGGATGGACACATTTGAAGGAAATTGTTTTAACTACTAAAAACCTAAAATAAGAATAAATGTAAAAAATTGCATTCATAGGAGTAAAGTGAGAAAAAAATATAATTTTAAAAATGGACAAAAAATTTAAATGTGAAAAACATTCACAAAAAATTTTAAAAAAAAATAAAAAATAAAAAATAAGATAAATATGAGTAGAAAAGGAAAAAAAAAATAAGAGGAGAGGCTAACTCGTGGCACGCTAGCTCTTTTATGTTTGTTAGATTAGATTAGAAAAAAAAATAAAAAATAAAAAATAAGATAAATATGAGTAGAAAAGGAAAAAAAAAATAAGAGGAGAGGCTAACTCGTGGCACGCTAGCTCTTTTATGTTTGTTAGATTAGATTAGACTAGTTGAGCCACATGCTATGTATGTGAGGAATAACTTTATAAGTTTAATTCCACGTCAAAATATATAACCATCTTAGAAGATAAGTCCATTAAATAGTGTCAGAGAAAAATATTTTTTAAAAAATTATATCGAGAAAGAATAAAAATATATATGACTTTTTGACAAAAAAGAGTTGGGAGACATTTCTTATTTTAATTAAAACAAATTAAAGAAAATAAAGTGTTTCA